GAGTCACTAGGGCAGGCACAGCCCTGTCTTCACATCACTATGTGGATGTTCTCCCAGCTCTGAACCTGACACAGGTCCCCTTGTGTGTAACAGCAATGGTCACCGAGGGAGTGCCCCAGACCCCTCTCTTCGGTGGTCTCAGGAGTGCCCCAGACCCCTCTCTCCGGTGGTCTCCGGAGTTCCCCAGATCCCTCTCTCTGGTTGTCTCTTCTCTGCTCTCCTGAGTGGTCTTCCTTTGCTCTGCACCCAAGGAAACTGAGACCCTTGGAAGCCCCCCCATTCCCTAGTCCCCTGAGCAGCAGCTCTCAGCTCCTCTTGCCACTTTGACCCAAGGCCCAGCCCTGCCTCCAGGGAGCACCAGGCTCCTCCACAGCAAAGGGCTGGAGCAGCCCATGGCCAGCCCCTACACAGGAGTCTCCAGCCTCTCAGGCCAGGCCATTCCCAAGGCTGCTGGCGGCTGGCCCGTGCCCAGACACCTTGAAAGAACAAGGACCCTGCCCATGAGTGAGGTAACTGGGCCCTCAGTGGCAGGATCCAAACCAGGACTAGGGGCATGTCCAGCATGATGCCTGCCTGGAAGAGCAGCCGCGGGTGCCCGGCCATTTCCGGCGCACTGTGGAGAACAGAGGGTGCAGCTGTGCCCCAAGCCCTGGGCCCTGCCATTTTGAACCAGGGAGGACAAAGCAGGGAGAGGAGGGCAGAGACCCCGCAGGAGGGAGGGGCCACAGTGTGTCTGGAGAAGAGCCAAGCTCTGAGCAGCCAACTGCCCTGGAGCAGACTGGTTCTGCCCAGCGCGAAGCAGTTTCTCTCCAGCTCCATTTCTGCACGTTTTTGTTCCCACCTCGGTTCCCTGGACCCACATTAGCCTTGGAGAAGACGCCAGGATAGCACCCCAGAGCAGCAGCAGGCCTCCTTCTGAGGGTGCTGGGAGGAGCGTGTCCGACCCCCCCTGAGCAGGAGGCTTGTGGAGCTTCCCTGCCCGGGCTGGAGGCGGTGCGGCTTCCTCCGGGGCAGCCGCCGGCAGCAGAGCCCTCTACGCCCACCAGAGCAGGTTCCATGTGGGGCCTGCTGGACCCTCAGAAGCCCAAACCGAGGGTCACTACACCTTGTCCTGCCTGCAGGGTCGGGGGCTGGGGCTGGACTACCACCGCCTGTTCCCCAGACTGTGAGGAGAGGATCAGATCAGAGGTGGGCTCTAGAGCCTGGGCTGGGTCCAGGAAGACAGCACCGTAGCACACGGGGCCTTGGCCCACAGCCCAGGGAGGAGAGCAGGGCCCAGGGAGTGAACACCGTCAACATGCACACACATGCACGCGTGTGCACAAAACGTGCACAGGAAAAACACATGTGCACCCGACACACTGTGTGCACAAACAGGTGTGCTCACACGGGATCCAGCCAGGCACAGGTTAGAAGCTGCTGCCCACGGGCAGCTGGCCTTGGCCAGCCTCCAGCTGCTGTCCCACTGTGGCTGCTGGAACCATGGCAGCACTGGGGGGTCCCGTGTCACCCACCGGCCCCTCCTGCCCTTCTGATCCTGTGGACTGTGGCTGGCGGCTACAGCTGTAAAAGGCAGAGCAAAGACAGGGTGTGGCTGGTGAGGGGTGAGCCGGTGGCCGCAGCCGAGGCCAGGCTCCTGTCACTGTTTTAGAAGGAAGATGGTGTTGCCCTCCACACACTTTCCTACTCCTCCAACAGGCACCCTGAAGCCTGAGTCCCAGTGCGTCCCTGCCGGCGGCCTGCGAGCAGGGGCACCTGTGTTTTGCCCTGCAGACCTTTCAGGCACCTCCCGAGACCTGGAGCCCCTTGTCCCATCAGGGACTCACAGGTGGGCTGGCGGGTCAGAGGGCCTTGGCCAACCAGGGCTGCAGGGACCCAGAGCCCTCTTCCCACAGCCCCGGGGGGGTCCCAGGCCTAGGTGTTGCAGACCTGTTGACTCGTGGGGGCTCTGCTTAGCCAGCTCTCCGTGGCTGCGACCGGAAGACCTGACTGGAACAGTCAGCAGAGGAGGAAGTGGCTTTGTGGCTCGTGGTTTCCGAGGTTCAGTCCATGGATGGCCGACTCTGAGCTCTGGCCCAGATGAGGCAGCACGTCATGGTGGAAGAGCGTGGTGGAGTGGAGCACTCAGGATGTGACAGCGAGGAAGCAGCTCTGCTCACCAGGGACAAAACATCGACCCAAGGCAGACCCCAGGGACCCCCTCCTCCAGCCACACCCCACCTGCACACCGTCACCACCCAGCTCCTGTGTTCACGCGGCTGATGCAGCAGTAGGCTCAGGTCTCATGACCCCATCTCCACCTCTGAACTCTCCTGCCTCGTCCCACACATGAGTTCTGGGGCCACCTCGGGTCCAGATCATAACAGGCCTCCTGGGTCAGAGGCTCTTGTGTGTGCAGGGGTGGGGGTCCTGCAGGCCCCTCAGGAGGACACTGGTCCTGCACCAGCTCTGCCCTCACAACTGCCCTCCAGCCCAGGACTGCTCCACAGCACCTCCTGAGAGAGGCATGGACACGTGACCTGGGGCAGGCAGACGTGGCGTGGGGTCTTGTGCTGTGTGCTGCCAGGATGGCGCCCAGGGCTCCCGTGTGGGAGGCACGCATTCTCCCACTGTCACTCATCCCGCTCATGTTTCATGATGGGATCTCGAGAGTGGAAAGGCAGCAGGCCACGTTCAGACAGCTGCCCGCTCCCGGGAACCTCCCAGAGGTCTTCAAGTTTGGTTTCTTTTGCCCACTCTTCCAGTGGGTGGTGGCAAGTCTCAAATTTCCTGTTTGGGTGGTTGGTTATCACAGCGTCTTCCACTCTGTCCTGACACCCCAGTCACAGGTGCTGGGGTCTGCACTCCTGGAGAGGGGCAGTGAGGAGCAGCCGGAATCAGGGTCCTCCAGCCCAGCCTGGCCAAGGAGAAAGGGAGGCAGTGTCATGAGGGCGGAGGCCGCTTAGGGCTCAGTATTCAGGTCAGGTCCAGGCAGCCCTGCAGACCACCTCAAAAGAGCCAAGATGAAGATGCCCAAATGCATCACCCTCTGTGCAGGCCAGGTGTGCCCACAGATGTGTGCACAGGTGTGTGTGCGTTCATCATCCTGTGTGCAGACAGGTGTGCCCACAGATGTGTGCACAGGTGTGTGTGCATTCATCACTGTGTGCAGACACGTGTGTCCACTCACAAGTGCACAGGTGCATGCACATTCATCACCCTGTGTGCAGACAAAGGTGTGGCCGCCCACCTATGTGCACAGGTGTGTGTACGTTCATCATCCTGTGTGCAGACACAGGTGTGTCCACCCACCTATGTGCACAGGTGTGTGTGCATTCATCACCCTGTGTGCTCAGACCCACATGTGCACAGGCCTGTGCCCGTAGCCTATCTGCCCATCCAGGAGCATTTCCATTGGCAGGTGCCTATAACTGCAGGTGCAGATCTGCATCCGTCAGGGATGTTGGGAGTGCTGCTCTTCTTCAGCAAACTTTGCATACACTAAGTGATTAAAAGTAGCAGTTTTATGTATGTTGAAATGCCTGGTAGGTTTATATGAAGGGAATCTGGGAGATTAAAATAGAGTTAGTTTATGTCATGCTTTTTCCCAGTGAAAACCCTTTCAGAACTCCTAGGAAAAGAGTTTTATTTGCCAGATTTCTCATTTTTTCTTATTTTCCATCTCCAAGTTTCCAAAGATTAAAACACTCTTACAAATGGGGAACTTCAAAGGTCGTCGAAACTTTGAGAGTCCAACCTAGTTTGCCCCAGTTTTCTCCTCCCAGCGTCCACCACTGGAAGCCCTGCTGAGGGACACAGCCGCTCTGCCTGGCCCCTGTTCCTGTGCCTGCTCAATTCAGTGTGGAGCCCAGGCCCTGAGCGACAAGGACAGGCAGCACCCAGTGTCCATGCCTCCCGGCAGGCACCTCCCTGAGCTTGTCATTCCCCCAGCCCTTCACTGGCAAGAACCCTCCTCCTCCCCTTCCTCATCCTCCTCTCCCTCCTCCTCCTCTCACTTTCCTCTTCTTCCCCCTCCTCCTCCCCTCCTCCTCCCCTCCCCCTCCCCCTCCCCCTCCTCAACCCGTGTCCCAGGGGGGCAGGAGTCGAGTCCACAGTGGAGAGCCAGAGGAGCCCCTGTGACCAGGCGGGAAGGTGGACCGGTGTGGAGGCGCGTGCTGAGCCTAAGGGTGGCCTGCCCTGCCCGTGCCACCTCTCGGGAGGTTGGTCACCTCCACCTCTGCCGGTGTTTCTCTTGGGGAGTTCGAGGCTCTGAGCAGATAGACCCTGGCGTGGGGTGTGCAGAGGGCCTCCCTCCAACATCGCACACATTCCTGGTCAGCACCACACCCTGCGTGGATCACCCTGGCCGTCCTTATACAAACAGAGCACTGCTGCCTGCCGCAAGCTATTTTTGTCCCGGGCACATTCTCCTGCTGTCTGTGTTGCTCCAGGTCGGCTGCAAGCTCAGCCTGGTCTTCTTCCAGTACTGCATCATGGCGAACTTCTACTGGCTCCTGGTGGAGGGGCTCTACCTGCACACGCTGCTGGTGGCCGTCCTCCCGCCCAGCAGGTGCTTCCTGGCCTATCTCCTGATCGGATGGGGTAAGGGCTCCACCTGACCAGCTAGCACGGAAGGCTGCACTGCAGGGTCAGGCTGTGCAGACCCGAGGTTCCTGCAGGCCACACTTGGGTGTTTCTGGTAACCAGGGTCTGAACTGTGAATCCAATTCCTGGCCCCGTCCACCCTGGGTCCAGCCTGAACTGCAAACAGGCAGCAACATGGCACTTATCTTTCTACCCACCCAGTGCACAGGACACGGTGGGCACCAGGCAGAGGGCCAGAGGTGGGCAGGCTCACAAGCCAGCAGCAGAGCCGGCTCCGACCAGGGCAGGGAAGCCTCGAGGTGGGGGACAGGCAGACCTGCAGACTCTGGTGTCCCACCGTGGCAGGCTGGCCTCCGCGAAACAGACCCATCTCGGCTTGATCCTCAGCTTTCAGACGTGTTTCCTCTCCCCAGCTCCCTGTCAAGGCCTGAGTGTGAACACTGAGGCCAACTTGGAGCTAGCCCTGCCCCTGGTTCTCGGGCTGGGAAGCTGCCCCAAGCGCAGGAGCTGTCTGTGTGCACAGCTGCTCCCGCCTGAGCCCTGACGAGGCGTCTCTCTGCAGGCATCCCCACCATCTGCATAGGCGCGTGGACCGCGACCCGGCTCTCTCTAGAAGACACAGGGTGAGTGCACACACTCCTGGCCCATGGAGTGAGGCCCAGCAGTGTTGGCCGAGTGTCTGGACTGGAGAGCCTGCGCCTGGGTGGAAGGACTGGAGGCGCCGTGTGTGGGCAAGGGTCTCCAGGGTGTCCGTGAAGGGGGCGTGAGAAGGGGGTTGAACCAGCCTGGTAGCTGAGACTAGGACAAACAGGTGGAGGTGGGCGGCCTCCTGAGCACAGTGCAGTCCACCAAAGGACACTGAGCAGATGCAGCTGAGCTCTGAGATGGCAGGGAACTCTCAAGCTCCAAACCGCCAGGTTGGGCCAGCGCGTCTGCTCTGTCCACGGAAAGCCAGGCCATGGCCCCAACACGAGGACAGGGCACTCCCAGTGGGTGTGCCTCCTGGGTGACAGATCCGGAAGGTGGGCGACCTGGAACAGTCCTGTGTTCAGGGCTTTTCACACAGATGGCCAGCCTGGGGCCTCCCAGCAGGTCTTCCCGACCTGCTCGCTCCCCTGGTCACCTCCGGGTCGGTGGGCGACTGGCTGAGTCCCCTCCTGGTCCAGGTCCTGGGAGCCAACCCTAGAGCTCAGGGCCCGGCCCCAGTGCCTCACATGGCGTTGCCAAGCCAACTGGGGCCTGGGACAGGGACAGGGCCCCTGCCTCCAGAGGAGGCCAGAGCTGGTGGCAGATGCTCAAGGGCAGTGAGCAAGCTCCCACTGCAAACAGCCCTGGAGCTGGAAATCAGAGGTGAGGTCACTGCAGAGGACTTCCTAGTGGGCCCTCCTGCCCTGTTCTGAGGGGGCTTTAAACCTTCATTCAAGACACAGAGGGTGAGAGGAAGCTGACTTTCAGGGAAACCATCCCTTCTCGTGGTGTAAACTGAGTCAAGCCCCAAACAGCTCTGGGGAGAGTCCTGGACATTTTGGCTCACCTTGGCATCAGCAGGTGGTCACACTGGGAGGACAGCCCCAGACAGTCACCCCCCTGGGGACCAAGCCGCGGCTCTCGCCTGCAGAGCTGGGCGCCTGGGCTGGGTGAAAGAGCCAGCCAGGTGCACGGCCCAGCACGAGGCCCTCCCGGGCAGTGTGTCCACGCACGTCCACACTGACCTGCAGCTGTGGCCAGGGTGGCAGGATCTCCCTTCCCTTCACAGTTGCTGGGACACCAACGAGCACAGCGTCCCCTGGTGGGTGATCCGGATGCCCATCCTGGTCTCCATCCTGGTGAGTCCTTCCTCATGGACATGCTGCTCTGCTCCACGGCCCAAGGGTCCTCACCAGCGGGGTGGCCTGGCTCCACACGGCCTTCCTACAGAAGTCCAGGTGGCAACACTCGGGGGCCCTCTCCTCCCTGCAGGTCAACTTCATCCTCTTCATCAGCATCATCAGGATTCTACTGCAGAAGCTGATGTCCCCCGACGTCGGTGGGAACGACCAGTCTCAGTACAAGTGAGTCGGTCCCAGAGCCGCAGGGCCCTGTCACTGGCTGCAAGGTCCTGAGGTGCCCCCTTCCCCCAGATGCGGTGGAGCTAAGGCCAGGTCTGCTGTGCCTGGTGCTGAGAGGGGGCTTCCATGGAGCCCATGGGCCCTGTAGTGAGAACACCATCGGGTTTGCCAGGGCCCGTTGCAGTCCCCTCCCCTTGGCCACTTGTCACCCCATCAGACTGTGCTCCGGGGCCGCGTGGCCACAGAGCATCTGATGCCAGGCCTTGTCTGGGCACTACCCAGAAGGGGCCCACTGATGGGCAGGTGCTGCCCCACCACCCTCAGCAGGGGAGCCACCACCACACAGAGGTGACCTGAGGAAGGCATAAGGCGCCGTAAACTCCTCTCCATGATCCGCACTCAGGATGGAACCCAGCCCAGGCCTGTGCCCAGCTGCGAGGAGCCCCTCAGTCACCTGATGGCCCAGCCCAGCCCCGAGTCCTCGGGTGTCTGGCCTCCCTGTCCCTCCCTGGCAAGTGCGGGCATCGGGAGAAGGCTGGGGTCACAATGCCGGGGCACATCCCACCAGGCCTGAGGAGAGCACCTCTCTGTCCTCCGTGTCCTGGTCTGTGAGGTGAAACGTGGCAGCCAGACCCAAGGACCCATAGAGCCAGAGCCTGGGAACCGTGTGGGGTGGCGCCACCTGTGTCTAAGGCACACCGTGCGTAGGTTCAGGAAGAAGTGTCTGTGCGGCCCCCCTGGAGCCAGACTCCGCTGGCTGCGTGCTCAGGCCAGAGCCAGGCCCCACGGCTGTGCTGGGAGAAGCTCAGCTCCTGGCCCAGGCCCGCGGAGGCAGGAAGCAGGGAGGAGGTCACTCCTGGTGACCGTAATTGGACTGGGGTTTTCTGCAGATCTTGTTCCACATCTGAGCTGACCTTTCCTTCGGGTTCCCTGGGAGTGGTGTGAAATCTGTCCGGAGATGGATGTTTTTATTCTGGAGACACAGTTACATGGGGGTAATGAAATCCGCGCTCTTCCAGGATGGCAGGAGGGCAGAGCTGAGCTGTACCCTGTGAGTCTCTGCAGAGAAGGGCCCCGAGGTCAGCCACACCCACACTGCCTCCTGAGATCCTGTGGCAGGCTTGGGCCTGGGGGCAGCAGGAAGGAAAACAGGTCCCCGATCCCCGACCACATCATGCTGCTCCGACATCACGCTGCCCCCGGGCCCGCTCCCACCTGCGGACCCTGGGCAAGGCATTGGGTGTGGCAGGCCCTGGGCTCAGAGGTCAAGGTGCACGTTGGTGGGACGCAGGAGTCAGAGTCAGCCGGCTGGTGACGTTGCCTGCCCCCCACACCGAGGCCCACTGCAGAAGGGACCCTCTCTGGCTCTGAGAGAGTTGTCTGTTAGGGGAAATCCGGCTGGTGATAGACCCGCAGGACACCTATTGTGGGCCAAGGGGCAGGTACTTTCTGGAACCTGCCTTCCCCAGAGGGTGAGGTTTGGAGACAGGTGTTTTCCCTAAGTGGTGTGAGGCCACAGAGGGAGGAGGGGTGGAGGGGCAGTGGCCTCGGTTTCCAGGTGAGATGGGGCTGTCTGAGGGCTTGGCTGCTGGCAGCCCTGAGGCGGGCAGGAGCAGACCCTCACTGCTGGGTGGCACGGAGTCACCTGGGATGTGAGGCCAGGCTCCTGGCCACCCATGGGGCTGCTGTGCCCAGACAGGGATGCAGGGCTTGAGGGTGGAGATCCCCACAGGTGGCCGCAAAGCCATAGCCGTAAGCCTGGTCTCACTGGGAACTGGTGAATGCCCTTCTTGGACCCCAGCTCAGAGGCTCCAGACCTGAGGGTGGGCCGGGAACCTGCGGGCTCCCCAGCAGCTCAGTCAGCTCAAGCCGGTGTCTGCTGCTGGCAGCAAGGAGGGCCGAGTTGGATGCATGGTGCCATTTCCAATCTGAAGCACAAGAAACTCTGTGTTTGGCCCGGGCAGGGCGACCACTCCTGGATCTCTGTCCAGCAGAGCGGTCACTTCAGCCAGGCCACTCCATGCCACGGGGTGTGTGGAGCCTAGCAGCCAGTGACAGCATGTCCAGGGCCCGTGTGTGCCCCTGGGGCCTCCCTCTGCTGCTCTGCCTCTCGGTCTGAGACCAGACCCCCTGTCTAGGGCTGTTGCTCCACTGTTGACGGCAGTGATAAAGGACAGTGAGCCTGAGGCCACACTGGAGGGCCACACAGAGGCTGGTGAGCCCCCAGGCCTCCCTGTGGGCTCTGGCCCTCGTGAGCAGTCACCAAGCCTGCAGAGAGGCGGGATGGGGCCATGGCTCCCCGCGCAGGTCCCCGTGAGGAGGCAGAGCAGGCCCAGCACCCTGCCCCTGCACCCTGGGAAACGACCCCCTCAGGTGGGCAGGTGGGGCTCACGACATCCTCTCCCTCCCCCAGGAGACTGGCCAAGTCCACGCTGCTGCTCATCCCGCTGTTTGGCGTCCACTACGTGGTGTTTGCCGCTTTCCCCATCGGCATCTCTGCCAAGTACCAGATCCTGCTGGAGCTGTGCGGCGGGTCCTTCCAGGTGGGTGCGGCCGGCAGGCGAGGGTGGGCTCCCTGGGCCGCGCTGACGCCCTCTCTCTTGCAGGGCCTGGTGGTGGCCGTTCTCTACTGCTTCCTGAACAGTGAGGTGAGGCCTGCATCACGGACCAGGGGAGGGGAGGCTCCCACAGCACCCAGGAGGCCCCCGTCTCCCGCCAGCCGGGGGTGGGGTTGGGGGCAGCTCCCACAACCCCTCCTGCCGTGGGCCTCACTGACGGCTGCTGCTACCCACTGGGCCTCCGAGGGCAGAGGCCATACCTGCCTCTCCACCACCCTGGAGCAGCCTCAGGGGCCCTTCCTGCCAGTGAGACAAAACCCGAATCCAGTGTCCCTCTTTATTATTAGCCTCTTGCTCCCTGATCCATGACCAGGAGGCCAGAAAGCCCAGGGCCTTAGTGGGGAAGGGCAGGGACTGACCAGGAGACGTGTCAATCCCAAGATAAAGCCCCCGGAGTGGGTGCCCCTGTCCCCTGGTTCTGCCGCCCGCTGCCCTCCCCTGCAGCCTCTCTCCATGGGCCTGTTCACTCCAGGCAGTGCCCAGGTCCCCTCCGGGCTCTGCGCCTGGCACCTGGCTCCTCCCCTGGAGAAGGACGCCCTTGCAGACCGCGGGCAGCTCTCACGCCCTCTTGGGGAGCAGCAGCTCCTCGATGCCCACCTCCCCAGAGATGCTGCAGCCCCTCTGTCAGTCCCCAGAGGGGAAGGAAGTTGGTGAAGGCCCACGCAGGGTCCAGGAGGCTGTGCCTAGAGTGGACACGGCCGGCCCCAGCCTGGCCCGCACCTGAGGACACCCAGCCCTGTTCAGCTGTCTCTGGCGGCCCCTGGGCTGGTGTCTAATGCCCAGCAGCACACCTTCCCCTGTCCTTCCTCCACTGCCCCTCCTCACCACCCAGCACCCTCCACCCAGGAGCAGAGAGGAGCGGAGCGGGACCCTGCCCCATGCTGCTGAGGAGGGTCTTCCAGAAGTGCCTCGTGTGCCCTGAGGCCCTGGAGGCCTCTCTCTACCACCCAAGGCTTGCAGAGTGGACGGGGTCCACTGTGGCTGGGTCTCTCCTGTCCCTCCTCCCACCCTCTCCCACAAGACCACCTTGGTACCTCTGACTGGGATGTGGGGAAAGGGCCACAGGCTCTGTTGTCCAGAAATGGGAGGGAGAGGGGTAGTGTCCATCAGCCGGGTGGGCCCCGAGGAGGGCCTGCATCCAGCCTCAGGCCCGATGAATGCCCCCCACCAGGTGCGGTGCGAGCTGAAGAGGAGGTGGCCAGGCCTAGGCCTCCACCCGTCCCAACCCAGTGGCCGGGACTACCGGCTCCACAGCTGGTCCATCTCCCGGAACGGCTCAGAGAGCGCCCTGCAGACCCACCGGGGTTCCCGCACCCAGTCCTTCCTGCAGACAGAGACCTCCGTCCTCTAGCCAGGCCCCTCACTGCAGAGCAGGCAGAGCTGCGGGCTGCGGGCCCCCCGTGGTGAGCTGCTTCCTCCCGCCCCACCAGTGAGGCGCCCATCGATCCCAGGGTGACCTGATCCTGCAGTGGGCCTGATCCTGGGTGGGACGGGCCACGCGGTGGACAGGGACCACTCTGCTCAGAACCTGCAGCTACACAGGCAGATCCATTTCAGAGGGAGACAAGATGAGCCCCAGACACAAAGCCTAGAAGCAGAGGAGGGGCTTCTTCTTCCCTACTGCCCCCTGCATTGGCCAGGCCTGTCCCAGGCAGGGAGCTGCCCTGGACACAGCCACCCTAGCACCATCCACAGCCTCCACCCTCTCCTGGCCCCACAGGGTGCTGACCCAGCAGCCAGGTCAGAGCTCCTGTGAAATTCCTCCTTAAACCAGGGCAGACGGGAAGTGAGCCAGCCCTCCCAGCACTCTTCTGGTCCCCAGGCCTGTCCTCTCTGGCCTCTGGGGGGACATTTGCATTTCAGTGGCCTCCTGGGCAGCTCAAGCACCTCCCACAGGCGGCCAGAGCCCTGCGATCTGCCCCAGGGCTGAGGGATCTACTGGGAGCAACATCAACCCTGTTCTCTGCTTAATGAAAATAATCTTAAAATTGCTTCTGTTTAAATGGAGACTCCTTTAAGGGAAGATAAAGTGTATCAAGCACTCCTAGCCAATGATTGCAAAGGGTTCTTGCTTTCTGTTCCTTTGACTATTTGCAGGGTGGAGAGGCAGGGCTGGGGAGTCCCTGAGGTGGCCACAGAGTACCTACATCCTGGGGGTGTGGGAGCAGGACACAGCCAGTCCCCGCAGACCAACAGATGGCCAGCCCAGGGCAGTGCATGTGCCAGGGCACACTCTCTGCCACTTGCTCCCCCTCAGAGAGGCAGCACAATCTTTGCTCTGGCTGCAGGGGTCCTGTGGCTCCAGGCAGGCAGGGAGACCCACACCATGCCAGGCTGGACGAGGTGGGTCAAGGAGGCAGGAGGTAACGCCCACTCCTCATCCTGCAGAAGAGAGAATGAAGGGCAGCGGAGCAGCCAGAGCCAGCCCAGGCCCCATCCCAGGCCCCCATCCTGCACACCCAGTGCTGGCCCCACCCTGACTACCAGGACCGTCCCTGGACTCCTATCCAGCCCACCAGAGGCCATCCCCCAGTGTGGAGTGGTGGTGCAGGCTCAGAGGACAGAGACCTCCGGCCTCCACAGCTAGGGGGCAGGAGTGTGGAGAGCCATGGCCTAAGCCAGGGACCTGCCCGGGTGGTGGATGGTGGCCGCAGGGCAAGGAGAGGAAGCTGTGCATGCTGCAGACCATAGGACCAGTCCCGCCAGCCACTTCAGCAGCTCTGAGCACACCAGCTGGGACTGCAGATGTGCTGCCGATGGCCCATGTGGAATCAAACTGCACCCGAACAGACACCGAGGGCCTGGACAGGCAGGTGTGGGTCACTGGTGATCATGGGCCAGGCACAGGGCACTGAGATGTACACAGGGGTGTGTCCCCTCAGCCCAGCACCTGCCAAAACCAAAAGGGTGAAATGGTCTCTCCTGGAGGGAGAGGGGAGGCTGCGGACAGTGTTCTGACAGAACCGAGGAGGAACGGGGGCTGACCGCGGTGCACGCAGGTGCTTGAGCCACCGTGGACTCCACCTTGTGTGGAAACAAGTTCTGTAGATACTGCAATAAACCTGTGTCCACCCTGGGTAAGGACCTGCTGTGACTCCAGAGTCCTGCTGGCCACGGGGTACCTGCGAGGACGTCGGGAGCAGCCACACTCCCTGGAGACAACGCCTGAGCCGCCAGCACACCCTGACCGCAGGAGGGGTTCTGAGAGCAGGGAAGGTACCAGAAGCACTGGCAAGTGGACACACCCGCCCTCCTCTGCCCGAGCTCCGGCTCACTGTCCACAGCTAGACACCAGAGAACCTGCCACCCAGAGAAGACTGTGGGGGGGGGGGGTTCTGCGTGTGCACAGTGGTGTGCAAGCATACGTGTGTGCTGTGTGCTGGGGTGGGGTGTGCATACGGAAGTGCACGTGTGTGCAGGTCTGAAGGTGTTCACTTTTACCACAACATGCTACAAGAAGATGGCGTCTACTGCTACTCGGCCAGGGAGAGGTTGAGAGCGCTGGCGAAAAACAAAGCCCCAGAAAGCAAAGTCAGCAACGAGCAGACACCCAAGACTCTGTGAGAGGAGAGAGGACCAGCCCAGGACCCCAGGGAGGAGAGGAGAACCAAAGAGAAAGGACCAGCCCAGGACACAGGGAGGAGAGGAAGGAGAAAGACAGAGGTCCAGCACAACACTCCAGGGACAAGAGCAGAGGAGGGGAGACAGGACCAGTCCAGAACCCCAGGGAGGAGGGAAGGGGAGACAGGACCAGCCCAGGACCCCAGGGAGGAGGGGAG